AGGAGCCACCAGGCAGCGGGGCGCTCAGGTTTGGCTTCTCTGGAGAGGGAGGCGGGAAGCCAAGCTCCGAGCACCCCATAATCCGGAACGAGGAGGGGGAAAGGCCCACCGGCAGGCCGGCGGGCTGGAAGTGGATGCAAGCCGCCCTGCCATCATCCGACCCGCTCCTTAGACCCACGTTTCCCTCCGAGCATATTACTGACGCCCCTTTCCGTGCAGCCTGGCGCCCGGCAAGCCCCCACGGGACCCCTCTCACCCTTCCCACCACCTGAAACGTGGCACCTCAGCCACTCAGGGGTGACAAAATAAACATACCCACAGCCACCCATGAGCCTACGAGTTTTTCCAGAGGAATCCAAGAGCATTAGTGAACCCTTTCATGAGAGGAGTTAGGGGGGCAGGAGAGCCCCCAGAGGCCCGAGAGGCGCTTAATGAGCCCGCTTGCATTTCTGGTGCGCAAACGGCCATTCCGGTGCACAGAGGCTCAGCTGTGCACCATGACTGGGGTTGCAGGCATGGGCCTTCATGTGGCTGGCCATGAGCCACAGTGGCCGAGGGCCAGTCCAGAGGAGAGACCTGGAGCCCCTTCGGCTGGATGCGGGCCACCTGTCTGCCCAACGGGTGGGTGGGAGAAGCACCTGCCTCACCTGTTCTCTGCCTGCCTGTCTGTCTGCCTGCCTGCCTGCCTGCCCGGTTCTGCCACGATTCTGCTGAAGGCAAAGGAGCCATAGGAGCTGGGAGCCCTGCATTCCCACCAAGTGCTGGTTGGCCCCTGCCAGCTCCTTCCCACATTTCCACTTCCATCTTTGTGCAAAGGCTCCCTGTTGGCTGTCAGTCTCACATTTGCTATAATTTGTACATCGTGTGGCTAGTCTGGTTCTGTTTATAGCAAATTATAGTTTTGTGTCTTGGAATCTGGTGGCATCTAATTTAATCGTGGCGGCTTTCCCTGCAGGTTGCCAAAATACATCTGAGCAGGCTGCATTGCTTGGCAAAGTCTTTGCTGGCAGGGGGGAAACCTCGGGCCCTCTGGCTTCCCAGGAGACTGAGGCTTGCCTGGCCCATGTGACTGCAGGTGGGAGCGTCTGTTCTGACAAGGCGGCTTGCTGTGTGTGAAAAGTAGGATGGGATCAGAGAAGGAGGCAAGTGCAGGAGGGAACGCCGGGGACCGACCGTCTGGCCCCGCTTCCTCCTAGTGCAAGTAGAAGACTCCCGACAGGGGGCCATCCAAGCCCCTGTTTACAAGCTTCCCAGGAAGGAGAGCCCTCCACCTGGCAAGGCAGAGGGTGACACCCCAGCCCGCCCCGCCCCGCCCCTGGTCAAAAGAGCTCTCTCTCCAGCAGGACATGCCACCCTGTGTTGAGCGGGCATATTTGCTCTTCTCACTTGAGTCAGTTCCCTAATCACACATATGCATGTGTGTATACACACGCACGCGCACACACACACGTGCGTGTGCACGTGCACGCCGATGCTCCCAGGTTTCTTCCGCTGAACCTCTCACTCTCAGGGTTATCTCCTTTTCTCCAAAGACTACTGAAATTAAAATAAAACTAAGAATGAGGAGACTGGCAGTGGAATGTTCAATTAATCCAGAAACTGATCTCATTATTCTATGTCTATTTACCTTTGACTAATGAAGGCACAGGACCTTCGTCATCAGGATCTACTACGGAGCAAAGGGCAGGTGACTCCAGACGGTCCGCCCTCCCCAGGCCTCGCTGCCTCCTAGTCCTTCTGTTTTGTTCCAAAAGTCTGTCTCCAAAGCAGACCCAACGAAGGGAGCAGGTCTCATACAGTCAATGTTTCTGGGCCCCAGGCAGTCCGTTTTTGCGTGAATAGCTAAGGATTAGGGTCTTCCTGAAGATTTTTGTATGTGACCGTACAGGTAATGCTTAAGTCATGAGAAGAAAGCTGTTTAGACAGACGTCATAAACCAGTTTACAGTTTGTATGAATGGATTTAACTTCTAGATCGAAATTTAAATTTTAGACAGTCTCCAACACACCCTGATGCTTTAAAGATTCAAATATATACCATGAAGGGCTGAGGGGGGAGGGTGAGTTTATATGTGTTTTCTTTCTTCTTGTATCTGTCAAGTTGCACCCAACAGGATTTTCAAGGCAGGCAAAATGTTCACACTTCCTGTTCACACACACACACACACATCCCAGAAGGTTTCCATGGCTGGTGGGGGCATTTTACCCTGAATCCTAGCCCAGCCCTCTAGCCATTACACCGCACTGCCTTTCACATATTTGGATTTCCCAACATAAATGTGATTCAGAATCATTCCAAGCTCTGTGTGTAAGTACATGTTTCTAGCAGGTTACATGGCAGGTGTGCAAAGGACGGGTGGCGCTGGTTTGGACATTTAGTTAAGTGCGTCTTCTCATGCTCTGACTTTACTCATTAGTTTTTGACACTGCTCAGGTTTTAGTGGCCAAGAAAAAGCTCACTGTAGAAGCTGCTCCCGGTTGCCTCTAGGGCGAGCGCATGAATTAGCAAAGGAACCTGCCAGTTTGCGTAGGCAGGAATCCCAACCTCTTCAGCGGGGAAATAATAAATAGGCCGTCAGCTCAGCTGCCTACACACTTCCTTGCCTGGGAACGCCTGGCCAGCTGTTGGTGGGCACACGGGGCCAGGCTCTCCACAGGCTGCGGAAAGGGGAGGAAGGCAGGAGGTTGTTGTTCTGCACGTTGTCCCTTTGTCTCAGGGTTGCCTGGAGGCCCAGAGGGCTGAGCGGCCTCTCCTGCTCTTGGATCAAAAATAGTGATTCGGAATTTGTCCTCCTCCTCCTCTTTCCACTTGGTGCATGAGAGCTGGCTGAAGTGGCTGAGGAACAGAGGTGCCTGCAAAGGCCAGCATACCCTGTCATGGCCTGGCCACAGCCTGGGAAGTGACTTTTCAAAAGCCCTCAGCTTTTCGGTTTTTTATTATTATTACTCTGTTTGCTACAAAAGTCCTAACCCCTTGCAATTCCTTAGGGTGAAAAGTACACCTTTTTTTGGGGGGGGGAAGGAATGTGTTACTTGAACTGCTACATTTCTCTATACTTCTTAATCACCTTCCTGTTACATTTTTTGGAAGGAAAAAAAACAGGATATTAGGAGAGTGGCATGAACTTGAAAATGAAATTTCAAAGTAATGCCAAAATGCTTCTTGTTAAACACAAAATATAACATTGCTGCCACGTGCTGTGCTACTTTTGAAATGTGAAGCTGTTACATCCTTGAAACAAACAAACAAACAAAAAAGGTAATGAGATGCAGGTCCCAACAGATAATGTGTTCCCTTCCCAGATGTGTGACTGGAATAGGAAGCCCCCTCCTGCCCGTTGGCATTCAGAAAATAATTCTGTTTGACTTGATTGCTTCCTTCTCTCTGGCATCTGAAACATCGCCCGCTCCCTCTGCTTACCCTGAATATAAGCCGTCCTTTCCTGCCATGCGCGCGCGCACACACACACACACACACACACAGGGCCTCTCCAGGGCCTCCTGGCTTTGGCCAGCCAGAAGGTCTGGCCCTTGCGCTTCCAGTGCCTCCTATCTGAGAAGGCGCTGGGCCCAGGTGATGAATGGGCTTCTCCTTTTGTGATATCAGCTGTTTCCGGCCCTTGGCAGGGCCTGAGTTTTGGTGGGGGCGCCTCGGGAGCCGGGCTCCTTATCCTCCACACATTTTCTGTCTCCAGGAATGGCTATTGATTTTTCTCAGCTCCTGCTGAGAGTGGTGTATCACTGAAAAGGAGCGACTTCAGGTGCTCCACGGAGGTTGTGGGTCTGCTTTGTGCAGCCTCCTCCACCCCCCCAATTCCTCCCCCCTCAACAGTGAGAGAAGGACCAGGGATTGCCTCTCTGCTTTTTAAACTTATTTTAAAATAAGCCACAGTCTATTGACTGTCCTAGGCTGGGACGCAATCAATAAAATCACATTAAAAGAGGCTAA